TATAATCATTGTTGATTACTCTATTAGTAGCTTTTATTGTTCTGATGGGAGCAACTTTTGTTCTTCTGTTGGTCGATTTCGGGTTCTATGGCAAAGAGGGTATATGCAGAAAGTTTTAGTTTGTATTGAAATTATCCAACATTTTGAATACAAAAATTATCAGTAATCATCAAATTCCCTCTATGTATTCTCCTTACTGTAATTCCCATTTCTCATTTCTCACTTATGCTGTTCTCTGTTTCTTTGAAATTCTTCCTTTGTTCTTAATGTCCATCCAATTCAGGACTATGATCCTCATACTTTGAGCCTCCTACTTTGCCTACCAGGGTTTCTATAGTGCCTAGGTTTCTAAAGCACCAATATTTCCACTACCTCCACCCAATGTAATCAAGATGTCTTAAAAGATGCCTATATATTACTCTTACTGATGGAGGTTGTTAGTTAATAATTGATTAGATCATTCTCTATCAGATTAAGTTTTTGTGATAATCGATTCAATCGATTATTTAAAATGGTATCAAAGTCAGATGTATAGTGTTTGAAATCTTGGTTGCCCCATTTTTATCAAAATTTAATTTTCCACAAGGTTTGATAGGCATGTGCTTGATCCATGGTTTCAGTCCATTTGGCTTATGTGTGACAGAATGTTTAGAGTATAAATAATTGACTGGTTCACTTTCTGTCAGGCTAAAATTTTGGAATAATCAGTGCAATCAATTATTTCGACAGGTCATCACAAGTTCCTTGTGAAATCGAAAGGTCATCCACAGTCAGATGATTCATGGGTCACGAAACACGAGTTTCACTTGATGGATCATGCCTTGATGATTGTATTTAAGCTTCTGCTTTGCAATTGACCTGAAGATGAGTTTCACATGATGGATCCTACCTTGATGATTGTATCTAGGCTTCCACTTCAGAGTTGAGTTCTTCTGAAAAGAAGGGGGTGGTATGGATTCCTCCTATTCTGCTGCACTACCTCATCTTCCCCTTCAGTTCAGGACACATGCATTCCAAGCAACTATTTACCTCATAAACAGGCTCCCTATACCAAGGCTAAACCCTAGCCTACTTCATGTACAAAATATTCTCAAAATCTTTAGATAAGACCATATGAGTTAATTAAGTGACTTGCTTATTTAAACCAAAGCATGGAAACCAATATAAGTACCTATCTCAAAAGAAATGTATACAGAAACGTGTTTAGAACTCACTTACAATCAAGTTCCTTGTGTCACAAGTACCAAATACTTTGGTGAACTCTTCTTCTGTCAAACATGTGCAGTCCTTCACACGTATCTCCGTTGGAGAGCCTCGGGCAAGGAGCTCAAGGAAATGAGCATGCATTGTCCTGGAGTCACAGAGCAACCGACTTAGCTTATGCCTCAGTGTATCCGGGACATGTTCAAGGGATACCATTGCTGCAGCGTGTTTAGCAAGAACACTCATGCTAAGATCCAGAAGGGAAGGAACACTACGGTTCAAGATATTAGATGCTTTGTTGTTTGAGGGGACCCATTTAAACTCATGTATAGATGCACCATTTAAGGGTTTCCTCCGAGCATTTGAGCCTGAATTCCGCTTCTTGATGTTCTCCATTGCCAAAGAAAATGGACCTTGCATATCTTCCGGGTCCTCAACTTTACTTGATGTTGTTCCCTTCTCCTTCTTTGAAAACCCCGAGGAGTCCTGCTCTTCACGGTCAAAATGAGCAAATCGTTGTGCGAACCTTCTCGCAATCTCATGTTGCCTTCTCGTCTCCTCCCTTCTCAATGATGTTTTCCGCATTGCGCTTGATAAGGCTTGCGCTCTTTTCCTTTCACGCTCCCGTTTCTCTTCCTCTTCGCTTGAATCTAAAATTTCAATGAAATTACGCTCCTTGACCTCACCAGGGATAGGAGACGAAATTCGAAATGTATTATCCCTCGCGAATTCTTCTCCAACCAGGTCTATCTGCAGAGCCAATTGAAGATCAAGATCAGTTGAACCAACATCATTGATACTCATTAAAGACTGACTATCATCTAATTTTGCTTTGCTCTCTTCAATGGAGTATCTTCTTCTTTTACTCGAAGAACTACCTCGTTCATGATCAGGGACTGTCTCCATTTCCCTCAAATCGACGCCGAAAAGAAAACTCCCTTCACATCCCCGGGCGTCACTGCTCTCAACTGATCGTTTCTTTCCCGCTTGGTTATCGGAAACTTCATCGCTCAAATCGAGATTAAAACTATCTCCAATCCCTACAATTCCTCCCTCGTCTGGCTGCAAATTGAGGTCAAGATTTAGTTCTCCTTTCCGTTTCCCCAAAATGTCAAAATCACCAACGATCCCTTCGCCCTCCTTATCTCCGTCAGTTTCGCTTTGTCTCGAAATTCCATTATTTTCCCGGGCATTCTCCGATAAACCTGTAGCTATCGTCGCTTCCTCGCGTTCTTCAAGGTCAATTCCTAGTTCCATCTCTCTTTCCATATCAAAAGCACACTAATCTCAGCGTCCTTTATATATTCCCGCGAAAAAGTTAACGAGCACCATAAGGTTCTGTGCCTTCAAGATTTGCAGAATTGAGTTGGTATGGATTGACGTCTACTGGTTTGAGAATCGGAGAGAGCGGAAAAACCAAACTGCATGTCAAAAATTAATTTTCAAACCCGGAATTCTAACGGCGGCGCTACCCACTGTCATCATGAGTACGAATACCCGGGGATCAAAAAGGCTGCTTTACATATGTCTCGTGGGTATTGCGACACTTGGAAGCAAATGATTGGCTCTCTCTGTTTCTCCTGCCTCTCCTGGAAACACACCGTTTCTGGCTCTTTCCTTGCCGTCAAAATGATATTTTAATTATATATGTATTTTTTTTTTATAAATTGAAGCAAACTCACAGAGTTACAACTCAGCCCATTATAAAATTTATTTTTCTTTGTTAAGAATATTTTTCATTTATGAGTTTTGTTGATTATTAAATTCATATATATAGTTTTTTTAAGACAGAAAAAAAAAATTAATTAAAGAGATGTAGTTATACTCTGATTTTTATTATTTTAATTTATTTTTCTTTAATATTTTAATTTACTTTTTCTTTATGGTTTTAATTTATTTTTTTTAATATCTTAATTTAATTCTATCTTTAATAACTAAATTTACTTTAATTTTTAACAATACTTATAATAAAAAATTAATATTATAAATTTTTTATAATTTTAAATTAATAATTAATACTCTGATTTTTTTGTCGTTATTTTTAAAATATTAAAAAAAATGAACGTTAATGTTCTGTTTGAATAATTTTTGTGGTGAATAATTAATGTAAGATAATGTATAGTACATGCGTAGAATGTAGAGACCCGTAACTTAAAAAAAATCATAAATTAAATACGGAAATGAAATAATATAGTTTAGAATTTACATTCCTTACACAATAATTTAAAATATTCAATAAGAATACATGAATTTCTAAAAAAATAAATGAAAATCAAATAAATAAATAAAAGATAATATGCTGAACATTTTATGACGACCTTCACTAGCTTTTCAAGGGAGTCTGAGTGGTGAATTATTCACAACTCTGTTGTTGATCAGGATCTGGAACTTGATCCTCTTGATATGAATAGTTAATGAAAGGGTGAGCTACACTAACCCAGTAAGAATATCACATTACTTGTCGATACAAAAACTGAAATTTGGTAAAAATCAGAAAAATAACCAATAGAGCTCTTGATTTAAGTAAATTCATTTATCATAAGAAAAATCATTTATTGCATATATTTACCGTTGTGAAATTTTCAAAACTGACTTATACAGACAATAATTCAAATAACATTATAATCTCATATTCAAGTGAGTAAGAACAATAACTTTCCATTTTTATTTGCCAACTGGTATCTCTAGGGTCTACAAGGATGTTCCACTACGCGTGAACCAATATCCAACATTATCAACTAACTGGCCGTCCCAATACCCCATCCGGTATGAGCATAAAAAATATCATCCCTCAATACTCCGTCTGGTATGAAGGTGAATCAGGACGTCCCCATACATCGTCTGGTATGAGTGCTAAAAATATCATTTCTCGATACCCTGTTCGATATGAGACAACATTCACAGTAGGATTCCCTATGTACTCGGTCCGTTTACCATATTACAGGATATCCAGTAAGATTACCATTCATTAATTCACATGACCAAATAATTTTCTGTTTGCATATTAATTTTAAATTTCACAAATCAACCATAAATCACGCAAGACTAGCAATATATATATCAAGAAAGCACAACTGAATCATTTAACTATTCCAGTATATCATCATGTATTTAAAGCTGTAAATTCAACAATCAATTACACAGGACAACAAAAAAATGATTAACCGGTTCCGACTCTATTAGTAACTTGTAATTATTCTCAAAGTTTTCTAAATTACACAAAATACTATATTATCGATTATTAAGTTTCAATTCCATAATAGAAAATAATGTGAGGGATTCTTACCCGAATTGATATCCGAAACACCAAACTTTCTACTGCGCCTACTGGCGATCCTTAGATTTCCTGAATTTTTCCGCGGAGATTAAAATATACTCTACGTACCTAAAAATACCCCAAAAATCCAAAATCAGTGTTAAAAATCATTTTCTGCCCAATTTCGAGGTTTCGGCATGGAAGCACCGATGTGCTCTAGCGACGGCACCATCGTCCGCGATAATAGTTTACATCGGTCTGGTTGTTTTTGGCTAATGTTGGCCGGTTTTGGCCAATTTTATACTCATTACTGTGAGAAAACACGTTAGGGGGCTTCAATTAGCTGAAAAAAAAAATTAAAAAATAAAAACCTACCAGTGGTGGGATTTTCTAGTGCGGCAGCTTCGCCGGCTCACCTTTGCGGTTGGATGTTTTTCTTTGGTCAACCTATAGAAAACATAACGGTGAACACAATTGTGAAAAAATCACACGAAACGAGAAATGAGAAGGGGATAATCGGAGGAGATTGAAGGTTTTGCCCGGGGTTTTCAGTTCATCTATCGTTCCTTTTGCTCTGATTTGGCCATAGAGGTGCTCAGAATTAAATTCCGAGATGATAGGAGAATATTTACCTTTTTTGGCGGTCGGAGGTAGCTCCGGCGCGGCGGCGGGCGGTGGTCGGCTCCCTTCTCTGGCACTAGTTCTTCTTCTCTAGTGGGAGGCTGGGGGCTAAGGTTTGGATTCAGTGTGATGCGAAATATTTTTATTCGTCTTGCGTTAATCTGGGACGTTCATCGTATTTGATCTCAACCGTCCGATCGCGTTTAAAGAAAAATGAATCTGGAACGTTCATCACGATTTGATCTTGATTGTCTAATTGCGTTTAAAGAAATAACAAATTTGGACCGTTCATCATGTTTAATCGTGACCGTTCGATCGCACCTGAGGAGGGAATAGATTCGGACCATCCACGAGCGCGTGAATGCTTTGGGGTCGTCCAATTGCGGGGCACATGAATTGCCAACGTGGCCACCCGTATGGCACCGAGTCAGCTTGTCTTGCCACATGGCACACTTCAGTTCGTCGAGGTTGCTGATTGGGTGGTCCTACGTGGTAAAATTTTCCTTAATTGTGTTCTAACCCCCAGTTTCTGATTTTTCTTTCAAAAACATCATCCGAACATAAATTTCACCCATTTTTCCCAAAAATGGTATGAACACCAAAATACCAATCATCGATACCCCATCCGGTATGAGGCAACGTTCACGGTAGGGTTCCCTATGTACCCGATCCATCCATCATCTCTTAGGATATCTAGTAAGGCTATCATTCATTCATTCACTTAATGAAGCAATTCTCCGTTTACATTTAATTTTTAGTTTCACAATTAAACTATAAATTACACAAAACAAGCAATACATGCATTAAGGAAACACAACTGAATTATCTTACCAACTCTAGCATATTATTATGCATTTAACTGGTTCCGGCTCCATTAGTAACATGTAATTAATTATCGATATTTTCTAAATAATGCAAAATGTCGTATTATTTATGATTAAACTTCAATTCTGTAACAGGGAATAAGGTGAGGGATTCTTACATGAATCGGTGTTCGAAATACTAAACTTTCAGTTGCGTCTACTAGCGGTCCTCGGGTTTCCTGAATTTTTCTTCAGACAAGTGCTTAAAAATACCTTAAAAATCTAAAAATCAGTGTTAAAAAACTTTTTTAACCAATTTCAAAATTTTGGCACGGTGACACCGCCGCTCGCGGTGGCAGTTTGCCTTGGACTGACATTTTCGGCCAGTTCTGGCCGATTTCGGTCGGTTTCATACCCATTCATGAAAAAAAAATATGTTAGGGGGCCTCGGTTGGCCCAAAAAAATCAAAAACAGAACTTACCAGCGGCGTAGTTTTCCGGTAAGGCGGCTGCGCTAGTTCACATTTGCAGTTAAGCCTTTTTCTTCAGTCAATATGTAGATAACATAATGGTGAATACAATGGTACAAAAATCGCACGAAACAGGAATCGGGAAGGGGCTCATCCGCCGGTCCTTTTGCTTGGATTTGGACATAGGGGTGTTCAAAATCAAATTTCAAGCGAACAAATTTTTTTTTGCCTTTTTTGGTGGTCGGAGGTGGCTCCGGCGCAGCGAGGAGCGGCGGTCGGCTCCCTTCTTTGGTGATTAGTTCTTCTTCTCTGACGGGGGGCTAGCGGCTAGGGTTAGGGTTCGGTGTGAAATGAGATATTTATACCCATCTCCCTTTAATATAGGTCGTCCATTGCGTTTGATCTCGATCGTCCTATCGCGTTTAAATAGGAAATGAATCTGAACTTTTTATCGCGATTTGATCTAGATCATACGATCGCATTTAAAGAAAAAACAAATCTGGGCCATTCATCGCGTTCGCGACCATCCGATCGCGCCTGAAGAGGGAACGGATCCAGACCGTCCACGCACATAGGAACAAATCCAGACCATCCAATCGCGGACACGTAGATTACCAGCATGGCCTCCCACGTGGCACTGAGTCAGCGGGCCTTGCCACGCAACGCGCTCCAGTTCGTCGGGGCTGCTGACAAGGCAGTCCTACGTGGCATATTTTTTTAAAATTATATTTTGACCTCTAGTTTCTGATTTTTCGTTCAAAAATACCCCACGAACCCAAGTTTTTTCCTATTTTTTCCAAAATTGTTTTTAATTTCATCATTTACCTATTTTTTTTCTAATTTTTTACATTAAATAAAAATTTATGAATTTAAAAATAATATTTTTATATATTAATTTTAATTTTTTAAAATTAATCCTTGGCTAAATTTCGAGTCCGGATATTACAACTCTCCCATCTTAAAATAAATTTGGTCCCTCAAATTTGCCTCTCTCTCACTCAATCAAACAGTTGGGGATACTAGGCTCCGAAGTCGGATTCTAGCTCCCACGTGGCCTTTCTCTGTGTGTGATTCTGCCATAGGACCTTAACAAAAGAAATTTTTCAGTTGCGGAGTACTCTGCTTTTTCGGTCTATAATATCCATAGGTATCTCCTCGTAGGACAGATCCTCTTAGAGTGAAAGAGGCTTGTGGGCCAAGATATGAGAGGGGTTCGGGTTGTACTTGCATAGCATGGACACATGAAACACGTTATGGACCTTAGATAGTTCTGGAGGTAATGTCAGTCTGTAGGCGGCAGTGCAAATTCTGTGTAAGATTTCAAATGACCCATTAAATCGGGGATTTA